ATGTGAAGATGGGGAGTTCAACATGCAGCAGGTGTGTTTGTCATCAAAGTCTGCCTGGCTTTTCTTAAGTTGTAATTTTAGCTGATCTCCAGGCTTGTTAGTTATCTCTGGAACATACCTTCTATCTTGGGCAACACAATTTGGAAAATGTAAAAAATCATAGTATTTCCTTTGTGATCGACTTCAGTGGTTCTATCTTCCTTTTTCTTCTTTTCTGATTCATGTACAAAATCCTGCATGTTGAGGTATAAAGTTCCATTTGTGTTATGCGTCTTTCTTCTACTTTTCTTTCTCATTTGTTTTGGCAAGCTGGAGAAGGTGCCCCAAAATCTTTAACTGAGGTTGCTGCAGGATTTGTGGTAGTGGTGATGGATTTTTATTTCGTTTTGTGATTCACTGCTCTGTTAAATAAGCAGGATTAAAGTTGTCTTTTTTATTCAGGTTCTTTATTTTAAAATGAGAGTTCATTAGTGACGACTGGCCCTTCTCACTGAAAATGTATCCAACTTACTTTTGAAATTCTATGAACAATTAAAAGGGATCTTAGTTGTGCTATTTTTAGTATCGTTTGGGAAGGCATCTTCTGTGCACTTCTAAGACGTCACTTTTCTCTTGGCTGCCTAGGCTGTAGCACTTGAAGAGGAGCAGAGCAGTTCTAGAGCAGAGACTCCCAGCACAGTGACAGAGGTGGATATGGACTTGGATAGCTACCAAGTTGCTCTGGAAGAAGTTCTTACGTGGTTGCTGTCAGCTGAGGATGCGTTTCGGGAACAGGAGGAAATATCTAGTGATGTTGAGGAAGTCAAAGAACAATTTTCAACCCATGAAGTAAGCTTCTCTTGAAAACTCACTACTTGTTTTTCGTGTGTGGGTAAGGGGGAGGGAAGCTGCAGAACCTCCATTTCCTGTCCTTGTCCAAAACCTGCCATTCTGTTTCTATTTTGTCTTGCTTTTTCCAAATTAAAAGCACCTCTAACCGAATGTGATTTCTTTGTTGTTGTTGTTGTGGGGCTTTGAGGTTTTTTTTGTGGGTGGTTTTTATTTTTTTTTTTTTGACAAATAATAGCTGCTTGAAGGTGAAATAGATCTTTTTAGGAGAACTTATAGTGGAACATGCTTTGAAACTTTAATGTATTTTTTTAATCAGCTTTCAGTGGCTGGCTCACTGGTGTCTATAATACAAAGACAGTCTGATCCAGGCTGATTCATGCTTTTCTGCTGCCAACTACTAAAAAGCCTGGTCAGCCTTATGTCACTTGCTGTTAAATGAAGGCAATGCTGAAATTGATAATCATGTCAATTTAATTCAGTGGTTTCCGTGTCACGATTAGCATAGTTTATTTCAGGAACGTTTGTTGTTGGTTCTAATTTATTGTTATTTCCAAATTATTTTGTTTTGGTTCTATTCCAAGTCTGCACAAATGTTCTAATGTTGCTAAAAGTTTCAAGTGTTGTGTTAGATGTTTTAGTTTTGTCTTGTGCAAGCTTACTGTATACAGTTGAATTTAAAATGTGAATGCTGATCAACATGAAGAATTTTTTTTCCTTGTGCTACAATTTTAAAGCCATGAACTGAAGGAAGAGGTGTTCTGGATTTATAGTAAATATGTGAAATTTTAATGTCATTAACTCATAGGGTTCTATTTGCTTTTCTTCAGTACAATTCAGACCTTGTTTCATATTCCGTTGGCCATAGGTAAGTTTGTTTTGTTTTCTTGGCGCATTTGTTCAAAGGCTGTCTTCCTACAAACAGATGTTTCTCTGAGGTGGTCAGCTTTTTTCCTCAATTAGCTCTATTTTACCGGCTCCAGAATTTTTGTAGCTGATAGAGAGTCTTCTATCGTAGAGAGGAACAGGTCTGGCATGCTTGTGTGTTTGATGGTGCCAGCTCATTCTACAGCGCTGTTTCGAACATGACAATTTACCAGCACGCTTACAAATTATGATTCCTGTAGGAGCTCACAGATTAGTCATGTGGCTGGTTGTGTCATTTCCAGGGTTTTATGATGGAACTGACTGCGCACCAGAGCAGTGTGGGTAATGTCCTGCAGGCTGGGAACCAGCTGGTGGCCCAGGGAAATCTGTCCTCTGAAGAAGAGTTTGAGATCCAGGAGCAAATGCTGCTGCTGAACTCCCGCTGGGAGGAGCTCAGGGTGGAGAGCATGGAGAGGCAGTCCCGGTAAGTCCTGCCACACAACCTCTCTCCTAGAGCTGCAGGACCAACCTCTGGTGCTTACTGCATTTCAGAGGAGCTGGTTTGCATCCATTTCAGAATTAAATCTTCAGTTTGTGACATAAAATCCACCTTCTTCCTACCTTCCAAGGTGAAACAAAAGAAATGAATACAACTGGGTTTTTTTAGATTCTTATATAAAAGTATTTTGTGATTGTTATGTTATGTAAATGTGCCAGACTAAATATATAGTATCTATGTGCAGTAGTTACATAAACGTGTTTTTAATATTGTTTCAGTGGTTTAAGTTCCTCAATAAAGCATACAGTAGATGCGGATAGCTATGTGTGTTTACACAACTAAAAAGCACTTAGATGATTTTTTTCCCACCTGTGGATTATCAAGCTAAGAGCTGCACATCAAGGGAGAAACTGCATTTTGCTGCAGCTCTCAGCAGAGGCTCTATTAGTGTCAAATTTCCATTGCAAGAAACAATCCCTGATATAAATTGCATAACTTTTTCTTGTTGAGAAAGAAACAAAGATACTTAACTGTGTTCCTTAGCTTAATGGTGAAAATTTTATTTGATGACAGCTAATGGTTTTATGAATGGCCTTGCTTCTTTCCTATAGGAACTAGAACTTAGTCTCTTTCCTTGGGAAATCTGTTTCTGAAATCACTCTGCCTGTGCTTCCCCCTGCAGCCTGCATGACATGCTGATGGAGCTCCAGAAGCAGCAGTTGCAGCAGCTGTCCGACTGGCTGACCGTCACAGAAGGACGCATTCAGAAGATGGAATCTCAACTCTTAGCGGAAGATTTGGAGTCCCTTCAAAAACAGTTGGAAGAACACAAAGTAAACCTTTTTTCTGTTACGTGACACATATGGGAGAAGTATTTGAAAAATGTGTATGTTGGTGGGTTCCTCAGCTGAGAAATTTGATTGTGTCAGAAGTCATATATGGCTGAATGCTGAGAGGCTGCATTTGATGTTTGGAAAAGGATGATGATGAGGGTAGAAAGGAACTGGAAGTTTCTGGAAGTGCTTTCTTAACTGAACGCTTGAGCACTGATGACTATAGCAGAAACTGTTGTCTTCGCTTTGTGCAGGAAGCGAAACCTGTAGGGGAAACTGTGTTACTCTCACTTTGTGCAGGAAATGAGACCTCGCCAGGAAAATTGTTGGTGTGAGGGAGAGTATGAAATGTCCTGTGGAGAAACTTGCCTTTAATGACTGGCAGGCAATGCTAAAGCATGATTGAGACTTGCAGATTAAAATGATGCTGGAGTCAAAACCATGAGGAAGAACCTTCCAAGTCACTGGTTCCAATCCCTGCTTTTACAGGGATCGCATCCTGAGGAGGTGCATAGACACTGGTCTCTGATGTGCACAGCGTTTTGGAAGTGGTTTGTCTCTTAATTAAGTTTCCAGGTGGGAGTCCAGCCTTTCTAGCCTGCAGTGGTTTTTTGAAGGAGAAAGATGGCCTTTTGATACTTGTGATGGTTGTAGCTTTGGTTTTTGTACTCAGTGTTGAGATTTGACTTTCTCCCCAGCATGGGACATACTTCACAGGGCAAGAACTGCGGAATATTTTTAGTTTGTGTAATTTCCTGTCCCACATTTGCATTCTTTCCTCTGTCTTCAAAGTCTGCAGAGTTTGAGGCTTGTTGTTCACAGAGTAGCTTAGGATATTCTGGGATGAAAAGTGACATTTATAGTACTGTAAAGTCATATTAGTCTTGCAGAGATATTTTGGAGGTAGGCTTTAACCATAGAATCCATTCTTCTAGAAGTTGTGTGAATATTTAAATCTACAGATTATTTCAAACTAATTGGAACTGTATGCTTTCCGCAGTTTTCAACTATTGTCTTTGAACATCATGATCAATTACAGCACTGTTGACACGAGAATTATATTGTCAACTATTAAGACGAATGCTCTTAGTGATTTTTTTTTTTCCATTTGGCATGCTCTATGATACTTGCTTAGTAACAATAATAGCCTTTTATAGAAATGCTTAAGCTCTCTTACCTGTAACAGTAGACATATAGAAAGTCTATACAGTTCTCATCTGATTCCCCTAGTCAAGTATGGTGCATACAGCTTAAAGTGCTCATTCATGTCTTCCAATATTTTGAGAGATTGGCTTTGGGTTTGTTTCTAGCAGTCTTTTGCTTACATTTATTTGTTTTATGTAATTAAAGCTTACATTTTACACAACTATGCAGTGATTCCCAGTGGTAAAATCTGTGCTTAATTGTTGAATCTGAAGTGCTTTGCCAGAGCAGTTGTGTTAGTCACTGTGGCCAAAATAGCAGATTAGCAAATGTATTCAAAGTTAGTAACCTCTGATTTGTTCTTCTAGAGCCTGCAGAGTGACCTAGAGACAGAGCAGGTGAAGGTAAACTCCTTAACACACATGGTCGTCATTGTTGATGAAAGCAGTGGGGAAAGTGCAACAGCTGTTCTGGAGGAACAATTGCAGGTAAAATGTTAGAGCCCTCTTTTTTTGACTGTAGTAACAGGCACTTTTAAAGCCTTTGCATATAATTATTAATTAATTTATTTGTGTTTAAAGGGAATTTATCCTAGAAAGTAATTTAAACTAAAGTGACCTCTAAAGATCTCTTCCAACTCAAACTATTCTATGATTTTAATATTTTTTAGAAGTAATATTAACATAAAGAATTATTAAATTTGCTTAGCATAAAACTTGCAGAAGTGCTTTGGTGACTTTCAAGCTCAATTCCTGATGAGTCAAGCTGTTTGCATTCATAGTGACTTGGGCACTTCTGTAGTGTACGCTTTCAGCAGTTTCACTAAAATGGGAAGATGCGCAGTACACCTGTTATTTTGCGTAAGCAATTTTCATTAGGAGGATAAAATCTGATGGTAAAAATATTTAAAGACATGAGCACAATTTATCTAGGTAATATCCTGTTTTCCCGTTTTTGTCAGAAGTTAGACTGTAACTTAAGGTATAGGGAGTGTGAAACAGAATTTATTGAAACAAAATTCATGCTGTTTTGTTCCCTCCTTTTGAAGTCAATCAAATAGCTCACTGACTTCAGCAAGAGTGGAGACAAGGCCATAGGTGAATGCTCTTGAAAAGTTTAACCTCCGGCTCTGTGCAATACAACAATAGCGAGTTCTGTCAACAAGATAGCTGTAATGTAGAAAGAGGTTACTGTAAAGTAGATATTATGCTTCTGAATATCCAATTTTTTGAGTTTCCTTGTGAGGCTTCTGAATGTTCATGAGTTTCCTGCTTTTGTAGAGGCTGGGCGAGCGGTGGACAGCAGTTTGTCGTTGGACTGAGGAACGACGGGTCAAGTTGCAAGAAATTCAGCTTTTATGGCAGGAGCTGCTGGAAGAGCAGGTTAGTAGCTCTTCAATTACCCAGAGTAACTGGTTGATATGTGGAGGAAAAAAAAAACGACCAAAGGAATAAAAACCAAACCCCTTAGTAGGGTTTAACAACTCTCAGAAAAACACCTCGAAAAACTAGATTTTGTGTTATTGTTTGAGTCCTCAGCATTTCTTGAGGAGTAAAGTAGCTGTGCAGCGCAAGAGATGTATTTTCCAAAGCTTAGATAGGAAAGTTTGTAATTCATTATAAAATAATTTTCGAGGTAGTTTGCAAAATGACCAAGAAGTGGGAATATCCACGCATCCAACAAAATGACAACGAATCACTAAGCATTTGGTGGTTTGGTAATTAAAGAAATTTTCCTAATTAAGGTGTATAAGCTTCCAACATGGATATGTGTACACAATTGTACAATCAACTAATCAATAGATACTGTATTCAAAATCAGTAATGTAAAACATTGGTCAACATAGTGAAGGATGTAGCTTGTCTCATTTTGCTGAGCTTAGGCAAACGGTTGAATTGTGAGAAGGTGGCATTGTGAGTGTTTTTCTTGCTTTTATATTGCACATTTTATGTATATATTAAATATACTGTTCAAACACAAATTAACTGATGACATAAATACGGTAACACAACTACAGGTGTTAAGTTTGCATGCCTAGTGCTAGAGCTTGTTTTGTGTCTCAGCTTAAAATATTTGATGGCTTTTCCTTTGAATGTTTTACTTTAAATTATTTTGTTTTCTTAAATGATGGTATTTGTCACTGTAAGCTGTTGTTTAAACTCTTCAGTACATGCAGATTGTTCAGACATTTGAAAGAAGTAGAACAGTGCTGATATAGCTGTTGCTATCAGCCTGGTTTCTTTGAGAGGGATGTTTTGTCTGGGTTTTTTGGGGCTGCATATGTTTCTCCCTGTCCCCTCCCATATCTGTTTGCAGTATATTGATAAGCTGAATTAGCAGCTTATGTGACCTTGTTGTTAATGTGGACCCGAGGTTCAGATTCTGGTTTATCCAATGCCAAGTATCTATTTTTATACATTTCTTTAAAATACTGCATTCACATGTACATACAGAAAACTATGTGCTAACATTTTCTGACAAGTCTTAGGCAAAATAACTCTGAGTTGAGAAATAAGGATTCCTAAAAAATCCTCATTCTGTATGTCAAGGTGTGGACTTCCAGTACTCTGTTTTGATGACCCTACGTGAACATGTTTCTGCCCTCTTCCACCCTTATATTTGTCTAGGGCAAAGTGACCACTCATTGACAATTACAATACAGTTAAGAGTACCATCTTCTGTTGGAGCTGCTTTGCATTCAGCTTTTTTTAATTTATATGTAATTATGTTGCTCTGTAAAAGTGAAATAACTTAATTGGTGTTTATTTAATGTAGGATGTCAGATAGCAAATAACGAGGAGATAGAAGTTTATTGAAGTGGCTTAGATCAGCCTCTGTTTCCATTTGTTGTTCAACTCTGAACAATACATTTCTTACTAACAGGTTTGAATTACAGTTCTCTGTCAAGAATTATCAAATCACCTACAAAAATTACAATTTGAAACTAGTTATAGACTTTATTACAAACACTTTGCTAACACAAGTAGCTAAAACATTTAGGTACTATCATTTTCCATTTTACCCAACCAGATGGAGAAATGAGCAACAGTGATGCATCAGCCTTTTTGTGGCTGCCTACAAAATTTTTGGAAACCACATTGCCAAGTCAACACAATTCTTACCACTCAGGAAACAAATTCCTCAATCAGTGCCAGATATTTCTTAGCGCTGTGATAATTATGTTTCAGTTTTCTAGGGAAAGTTATCTTTGACTGCTGATTTAGCAGAAATTAATTGAATACATTGAAGGGTTTTTAAGCTCCTCTTATGCATAATGTTGACTAGGATGTCAGCATGATTTTTCCAGGGAGTATCTGGTGGTATGATTTTGTTTCTCACAGGCTTACAGCATTTCCACCACCATCGTAATTGCTGTCTGTACGTTTTGCATATTGGTTTATGTTGGCAATGTAAACTGCCTTAACCCTTTGGCCCAAAAGTTGCTGTAGTCAGTTCTGGGACAATGCCAAAAATATACAGCTAAACTGAGGAGCCTAGTGGCTGTTGTAAAGTTTGTTGTTCAAAGAACAAAAAGGTCTGCCTTACTGTATAATTTTTTATTTTTATTTTTTTAAGCACAGAAAAGTAGCAGTGTGCCAGTGGCTATGTAGCTGAGCTTGATAGAAAGCTGGAGTCTATGGAAATGGCTGTGCAGCAGCAGCAATATGTTGCAACATAAGATAAAATATATAAAATCCTTCCTGATACCTGATGCCAGTTATTGCTGGAGTTTCTATAGGAGTGCATGTGACTGAAAAGAAGTGAGACCCAGGACAGGTTTCCTAGAAAAAAGTGGAAAAAGTTCAAGATCCTCGAGTTAGTACTCTCCAGAGCAGATCACTCCAGCTTTCAGTAGTTCATGAGATCGTATTTACTGAAGTTATTTTGCAATTGGAAGCAGGTACCATAAACAGGGAGGCAACTAATCAATATCTGAGTCTTTGACTGACTGCCTGGACTAAAAGGGCTCTGAATTATCAGTGGTGTAGCTTCTGGGCGAGAATGTTAGTAAACACTAGTTTTGAATCACAGAGGAGAAAGAGAGGAGAGTGATAGAAAGCACACATACCATTTTGATATATTTAATTCTAATATAATTTATAAGTCCTACGTCAGCTTTATACAGTGATATCTGGTCGCTATAAATAACTTTGAGGCGAGTGTGCTCTGATATGTGGAAAAATTGTTTTGTTGAAATTGTTTTGCTGGAAAGTATTACTTAGTTCTCTGATCTGATATTTTTTGTCCCCTTTTATGTACTATTTTTGTTAACACAAACTGAAATTCCTGCATATACAGACTGCAGAACTGTGCTTTGAATGCAAAGATATTAAAGAAGGAATTGCCAATAGCTCTTTGACAAGCTTGGTATTCTCTTGTGCTATTTTTCTTATGATCTGCAGTGCTTATTGAAAGCTTGGTTAACTGAGAAAGAAGAGGCTTTGAGTAAGGTCCAGACAAGCAACTTTAAAGATCAAACAGACCTGAGTGTGAATGTTCGAAAGCTAGCAGTAAGTATCTCTATCCTGTCAAATGTCATAGACTGAATGAATGGCAAATTACCAGTTTGACCCCAGTAGTAGCTGTGAGTGCATGATTCCTTGGGAGCCAGGCCAATACTCTTTCCTTGCCAGATTTTTTCACTTGAATTTAAATGTGTACAACTTACTCCATGGCCCTTCCAGGTTGGTGTGTCAAATGTTGGAACAGCTATCCTGGGTTTTTGACAGGGTTTCGAGTTTATTGCAGGCCACCATTCAACTTTCACCCAAAATTTGGAAAACACAGTTACGTGGTTTTGTATTTTTGGTTTAGTGTTGGTTTTGGTTTTTTTTTAATACATTGGTGCAGCTTGTACCTGAACTAAGCTTGTAAATGTTACTCAAGAGATACTGCTGATTGCTCTAGGAGCTGTTTCAGAGATGTGCTCTTTTTAAGAGTGCTGTTAGTGGTTTTTAAGAGAACTGTTTTGAAACCTATGATTTATTTGTTTCAGGGTAGTACATGTCTCCCCCTCACCTTGATATTGTCTTTTAATGTTTTCTTTTAACATTAGATTTTGAAAGAGGACATGGGTATGAAACGGCAAACACTAGACCAGCTGAATGAGCTAGGTCAGGATGTGGCCCAAATCCTTGGGAATGGCAGAGCATCCAGTAAAATTGATCAGGATCAAGAAGAACTAACTCAGAGGTGGGACAGCTTGGTTCAGAAGCTTGAGGATTACTCTAACCAGGTACTTAACAAGGTTTTATTCCTTTTAACTGTGATTACATGTCTGTATGTATGCAAACCTCATTGATGCTGTCAGCGAAATTGCTTAGGTGAGTTCTTGGCATCAGGCTGGAGAGGTAGGTGAGTGCTCTTTTCATGTGAGACTGACTTCATCTGCTGACAACGCTGTGTGTGTTTTTTGGTCTTCAAAACCCCAAGTTGTTAACCTGACTAGTACTATTACTCCTTTCTCACACAGATTAAGCTTCATTTTTCTGATGAGTAAAGCAGGCTTGCCATGTATTATCAATCAATACAAATGCCTTTAAACTTTATAAGAGTGCTGGGACTGGATTAAATCTGATACTAAAAGAAAACAAAGAAAAAACCTAAACCCCAGAATAGATAAATAAATGGGAGTCATACAAGCATTTATGCTCTGTGAGTATGATTTCTCATCTGTTGAAAATAGAGTAGTTGGTTGTTTGATATGTAATGATGATAGCCAAGCTGGATTGTTAAATGTTTATTTTAGTATTTTGAGTGCTTGGTAATATTTTTATTTAGACAGAACTCCCATTGGCTTCTGTGAGAATTTTGTCTGACAGTTTTATGACTCATATGTCCCTTTTATTAAAATGTTATTATGGTGAAGGCTGTGGCACTGATTCACAATCCATTTAGTGTATAGTGAATGAGCTGTGCAGTCTGAGCAGGGGTCTGTTTCAGCCATGTGGCTTTAATTTGTTCCTGTGTTTAAGTCAAAGCACTGGAAGGTGCCAAATCCTGTCTTCTTCCTTTCACTCTGCCTAAATATCAGGCACATACTTAGAATTTACAGGTTGATTCCCATGAGACTTAACTTTTATAAGTTAAAGAGTGTGGAAGGTTTCTATTGATTTGTGTGAGTTTTTGGGTCAAATCCATTATGTATTGAATCTTTCTGAGATCTAGGCTTGGTTTTATGGGGTACAAGTATAAAATATAGAATTATGTGTTAATAAACCCAAAGGACTTTGATTCTTTCTGTGAGCCAAGAAATTATGAAAGAAAATAGATATAATACTTATTTTGTTTATTTTAGTTCACTTGAACTGGCATGAAATTCTAGTTGAACTGAGAATTTTGATGCTTGGTTCCCGTCTGTTAAATGAGAATATCTGTAATAAAGGTGCTTCGTAACAGCTAGGTGTGGTCATTTGTAGGAGTGAATGAATGGACTTTTATGATTGATGAATAAAAGAAACTAAGCAAAAGTAATTGTTTGTGTTAAAAATGGCATTTAACCCTTTTGCTAAATTATTTTGTAGGTAACTCAAGCTGTAGGAAGTGTAGGGATGTCACAGGTTTTACAGAAGACTGTTGTGGAAACAATGCCGTTGAAGGAACAGGTAGTGGTTAAACAATCCAGACAGGAGTTGCCTCCACCACCACCTCCAAAGAAAAGGCAAATCCCAGGGGACAGTGAAGCAAAGAAAAAGTAAGTATATGTCCCTGCCATTTTCCCTACGGTATACTAGTATCCCTACTAGATACTGCATAGACTCATGTCTCTTGGTCTTGGCTTTTGATTCTTTTATGCAAGTGAGGAATACTTAAGTTGCGGTTGAGAGGTTGGGTTTGGGGAATGCGAAGGGAATGTTATGTACAGCCTTTTTTTCAGAGCAACAGAAAGCCTGCAGCTTCCATTAATTTCAAAGGGAAACAGGGGTGTTTTCTCAAAAAAGCAAGTCTTCAGTCCTTTGTACCTCAGCTCTTTTGCTGAAAGATAGAACAAATTATATTTACTTTTTTTTGAAAACCATCTTCTTGTCTCGTCTTTGATTAAAAAGTGTTGTGAAAGTGTCAAGTATTTTGATTTATTTATTATTTATTTCTAATCTCCATAAAATATAGGGGAGAAGTGGGAGAAACTGCACAAAAAGGGCTCAAAAACCTATTCCATTTCCCTGGTATTTAGTAATAAGAACAATATTGCGGTGATTTCACAAGTATATCTGGAGTGACTGACTGATTTGCATATATAGAATCATAGAATGGTTTGGGTTGGAAAGGACCTTAAAGATCATCTAGTTCCAACCCTGCTGCCATGGACAAGGACACCTTCCCCTAAATCAAGTTTCTCAAAGCCTCATCCAACCTGGCCTTGAATACCTCCAGGGATGGGGCAGCCACAACTCCTCTGGGCAACCTATTCCAGTGTCTCACCACCCTCACAGTGAAGAATTTCATCCTTATGTCCGATCTAAACCTACCCTCTTTCAGTTTAAAACTGTTACTCCTTGTCCTATCACTACACTCCCTGGTAGGGTCTCTCCCTGTTTTTTCTGTAGGCCTCCCTTTAAGTACTGGAAGGCTGCTGCAAGGTTTCTCCAGAGCCTTCTCTCCTCCAGGCTAAACAATATTTAATAACATGTGTTGCATTGCCTTTATTAAATAGCATATCTAAAGCTAAAGGAATTTCAAATAAAATTAAATGAATTAAATTTAAATTAAATTAATTAAATTAAATTTTCCAATAAATTAAGAAGGTAAATACTGTAATACTCGTTGTTTCGCTTTTTGCGCTTGCATGAGAAAATGAGCATTTCTTTGAGATGTTTAAATCTTTGAAAGATAGTTTAGGGAGAGGATAGAGGGATGGGTTAAGAGCAGGGAGTCACTCTGGTCGGTGATGTGTGTTTGCACAGTAAGAAGTTATCTTCATTTTTCTGGAGGATGAATGGAAGTTTGAAGGGGTGAGGAACTTGCCCAAACCAGCTTGAGGACACTGGTCAGACCGTCTGAGCCTTGGTGAGGGTGGTGTGTGCATGTGGGAGTCTTAGGGCAGTAAAGCAGTCAGCAATCCATCTGCCCCTCCTTCCCTGTGTGTCTCACGAGTCGGAGAAACTATTTCAGACTTTGAAAGGAAAAGCGATTTGACCTGTCATCTTTTTTTCCTGGAGTTCAAACTGTATTATGCCATCCAGAGGGACCTTGACAGGCTGGAGAGATGGGCCTGTAAGAACCTCATGAAGTTCAACAAGGCCAAGTGCAAGGTTCTGCACATGGGTCTGGGCAATCCCAAGCATAAGTACAGGCTGGGCAGAGAATTGATTGAGAGCAGCCCTGAGGAAAAGGACTTGGGAGTGCTGGTGGACGAGAAGCTCAACATGAGCCAGCAATGTGCACTGGCAGCCCAGAAAGCCAACCGTATCCTGGGCTGCATCCAAAGAAGTGTGGCCAGCAGGTCGAGGGAGGTGATTCTGCCCCTCTACTCTGCTCTCATGAGACCCACCTGGAATACTGCATTCAGCTCAGGAGTCCCCAACACAAGAAGGACATGGAGCTACTGGAGCGAGCCCAGAGGAGGGCCAGGAAGATGATCCGAGGGCTGGAGCACCTCTGCTATGAAGACAGGCTGAGAGAGTTGGGGCTGTTCAGCGTGGAGAAGAGAAGGCTCTGGGGGGATCTTATAGCAGCTTTCCATTACTTAAAGGGGGCCTACAGGAAAGCTGGAGAGGGACTTTTTACAAGGGCATGTAGTGATAGGACAAGGGGCAATGGATTTAAACTGAAAGAGGGGAGATTTAGATAGAAGGAAGAAATTTTTCGCTCAGAGTGGTGAGACACTGGTAAAGGTTGCCCAGAGAAGCTGTAGATACCTCATTCTGGAAGTGCTCAAGGGCAGGTTGGATGAGGCTTTGAGCAACCTGGTCTAGCCAAGGGTTTCCCTGCCCATGGCAGGGGGGCTGGAACTAGATGATCTTTGAGGTTCCTTCCAACCCTAACCATTCTATGATTCTATTAAGGACAGGGTCAGTTAGAACAGGCTAAACTTTCTCATGTTTTTGCCCTTTCTGATGCTTTTGCCTGATCTCAGTTACTTATGTTCAAACCAAAAAACAAGTAGTACCTAGAATTTTGCAGATCTTCTCAGGAAAACTTTGCGTGACTAGCAGTGACTTCTGCACTTCTTGCTAGGCTGTTATTCCATGTTAGGATTTACACTGTCTTAAGTAGTATAATTGTAATACGGCCCGACTTGTGGTCTGTCCTTCTCCCAAGTTCTGTACAGTATTTGTTAATTCGGGAGTTAGGTGGGTTTTTTTAACTTTTTTTTTTTTGTGGTGATGGGTTGTAACTTAGAGGTTTTAGGCATACGACAGTTATATTAGTATAGACGTGTCCACTGTAGCCAAACATATTAAGCTATAAGCTAATCTTTAGTCAGCTAAGCGTTCAAAAAGGTTGTCCACTGTCACTGCCACGAGTGCTTAAACTGCTAGTTTTTTCTTCAGACTAAATAGTGTTGCAGATTTTTATGCAATCTGGAACTGTCATTCTTACTTGTCTTGTGCCTGAGGTTTAGTTTATTACTTTCAAAATACTCAGCATTGAGCTGATGGTATATTTTGTGACATATTAAAAGAAACAGTAATAGTTTGCATGAAGATAGTTATTAAAAAAAAACCCAAACAAATTGCACCATACAGTCTTGATTTGCTCCCAAATACTAATACCATGGACATAATTTTTACTATGGCATGTTTTTGAAAGTCTGTCTCTATTCTTTTGCCTGTGAAGTACTAATATGAGAAACATGAATCTTGTGTGCAGCCTTGCTGTCTTGAGATTGAGTAATGTGCTGAACTTTAAGACTTCTGATTTTTAAGACAGTGTGACTGAATAGGGAAAAATGACAAAAAAAAAAAAATGTCTGACCTTTTAAACCAGGTTTGATGCTGCAAGTGCTGAGCTCTTGAACTGGATTTCAAAATCAAAATCTGCCATTCAGGCCACAGACATCAAAGAGTACAAGAAGATGAGAGAGACTTCAAACATGAAAGACAAGTTGAAGGTAAAATGGGGAGATAGTGTTCCGGTGAATAGTGTATTTTGTCTCTCAGCTGGCTGTCATCTGGAGGTGTGGGCTGATCCACATTCTTTGTGGGGATTAAGTCCTTAGTTGAGTAGTTTCAGAACTGAACATAAATGGAAATCTCTGACCAGTTGGACACAAATTTTTGCTGGTGTTGGGTTGCACAATCCACAGGAAATTTTAAAAACATGTATTACTGATATCTCCTTTGGAGTTCTGATAAATGTCTGTCTTCAGGATTAGTGTCTTTTTCACTAAGAAGCATGTTTTGCCTTTGTTTCACAGTTAGAGGTAGACTTGATTGACACCACTTTTATAATTCTGGCGGAGATGGGCTGGTAGGCTGCTCAGAGACCCATAAAATCATGCTGTGACACTCTGCACACACTGTGCCACAAAGGGTACAAAGTGTTCAGTTGTTGAAATGTTTGGACGTGTTGCTTGCTCTATTAATTTTGCAGAAAACATAGTTACAACTCATGTACAATATTACTGACCAGCAAGACAGAATAGATAATTTTACAGGATCCTGTGGGAGCCATGAAATAGCCATTTTACCTTCTGTTTCTCCTGTTTCGGGAACATATTCTTGCCTTTTTGGTCCTTGATCGTGCTTTGTTAATGAAGGCTTATGGGAGCTTTAGCAGAACCTGAACCTGCTTTGGGATCAAAGACAATACTTAAAAATATCTAAGGAGACTTCTCAGAGCAGTAGTGCAAAATGGTGCTAGTAGAAATGTTTGGAATGGCAGTACTGTTGGAAATAAAAACCAAGACAACCCTCCCAATAGATTATTTATAGATCTTTATGAATGTTTGTAGCCCTTTATAAAATAGGCTCCAAGACAATCACCAGGTTCCCTTGAACAGCACTGTTTTTAAATGATTGAACTCTAAGTGGTTAGGACAGTGTTTGTTCTTCCCAACTGTGCAAATAAATGCATTCTTCTCCTGAATTTACTGTGACAAGTCTAAACCAGAGTAATGACCTTGGACCTTTTGAAAATATTTTGATTTGGAGATACTTTGTAATCACAGAGGATGTTCAAGTTATAGCCTTGTGTCCAAGGAACTCATCTTTCCTCTGTGGATATATTCTACCCATTGGCTCACACAGCCAATGTATGTGACTTGAGGGAGGAACTTGTTCCTCTCAAAATCTTGATAGTCACATAGGTTTTTCCTCACCATTTCTTTATGAAGGACAGTGAAGCACTAGATCTTATGAAAGTGGATTACTAGTGTGCTATAGTTATTGCTGTTTAGACTTCCAGGGAACAGGTTGTTTTTCCCTTCTACTGGGAATCTTAGTAGAGACTGTAGAGGTGGAGAGGCTATTTTAAAAAAGGTCTTTTCTCCACTGGTTCACATTAATTACAATTTTTGATCACAAGTGACTTGTTTTAGCTGGTGTCTTAATATCTGATTTCACATAGCAGGATTGTCAATCCTCTTCACAATATTTTATTTGTGGTGGTGTTGTACTAGTCTTTTACTTGCTTGGTACTTGTGAGAGCTAACGCCTTTTACATTTGTTTTCTGAACAAAAAGAACTAGCATGATCTTAGAAGGTGCTGTATCCAAGAAAACTGGAATATGTTTTCGGTAGTAGTGGCAAAACATACGTTACTAGGGGCGGTGGGAAAGTAAATAAAAAATACCCTCTCTGAAACTCAGTTCTTTTGTGGCTCACTGCGTAGGTGATCGAAAAAGAAACAGCTGAAAAAAGCCAAAGGTTAGATGAACTGAAACAAAGTGGACATGTTCTTTTGGATCAAATGGGAAAGGGTAAGCAACTTGAAAGTTTTTCTGTTTTGTGATTTAATCAGATGAGTTGCTGGGAAATAACCCTGAAATACGCTATCTCCAGTTAAGCATCGCAGTATATTCCTTCCCTCTCCCTCCATTTTCTTTCCTTCAGAGACACTGGTCATTGTTACTATTATTGACCTATGTTTTTTTTTTTTTAAAGCTTATGGGAAGGCAATGTTAATATTATTTTGTTTAATGTTTGTGTGTTCATTTGAAACCTTTTAAGGGTTATTTTTTTTCGAAATAGAAGTAATTTTTTAAAACGACAGTAGCATGCTTTTAGAGGAAGGAGTTGGTTTTAAATTGTGTGGAGATTTTAAGTATAAAATTTTAAAATTTAACTGCCTTAAAGAAGTGGAAATTTTGAAACCAAATTGCAACTTGATAAATGTATGTATATCTCTTCTTATAGATTTCTCTATTTTTGTGGAAACTGTCACTATGTTTTGATGATACAGTCACAATTTTTATGGTTCAAAGGCAAGAGAGAAGCCTACATGCTTAAGGAAATGATTGGTTGTCAATTGAAACACTTATCCCTGGAAGCTTATAATTAACATTGGTGAAAGTTGAATCCTTAATCTTTGCCAAAATCTTGTTTGATAATATGACAAAACTCCATCAGTGAAATGTGACCTTCTCCATGCAAGAGTTATTCATATGATCAAGAGAGATCTACTATGCCCTTGGCTTCTGGTGAAGTTGCGATGACTGACAGCGTTCAGACAGATGAAAGGATGGTATCACTGTCCTGCATCCTTTTGGAAAATAATGATTTCCACTGGATTTCCCAACTGTTACATTTTTTCTAGCCAGCCTCTTTGCCTGAATGCCTCAGTCTGCTAAACATCCTCCCCTCCTTGCCTACTGCAGCTGAAGCTTTTTACAGTGGGTGCCATTGCCATGAAGCTGATGGCTGGAAGCCACTGATTTGACCTGGATTTAGGTTATAAAAATTTGTAGCTGTTCCTTGCCTTCAAACCTGGAGAGAAATCCTCCCTCCCTCCCTCCCTGAATCATGTCTGCATGAAGTGTGATGTTGTTAGCCATTGCTCCCTCTCTCTCCCAGGCCAACAGGATTTCCATCTACCTTTTCAGTGAATTTATTGCTGTTTTCTAATTTACTGCTTTCCTTTATCTTTGTGGAGTCTAGAATCCTTAAAAAAAAAAAAATCACTGGAAGCTTACTTAAATAAAGCTTATTTTATTGAAATCTGCGTATCAACATTTTGACATAAATCATGGTGGTGAAGAGAGTCATGATAGTCAAGAGTCAGCTCGTTATAAATTCAAAAGTTATCAAAGAGAAAGAATGGCAGTGCAATATTTGACTCTTCATTTTATTGTTAATGTGGAAATAAAAAGCTGAAACACTATCAGTAGTACGTACAGTTTTATGCATAGTGGACTTGGAATCAAATGTTAATGCAAATGTGCACCTGTATCTGAAGAGGAGAAAGGTTAAATGCCTGTTAATCAAAATGTGTTACAGTTAATATAACAATAATTTATATAATCTTTTTAGAAGGACTTTCTACAGTGGATATAAAAACTGTGATGGAGAAAATACTGTCAGGGTGGAAAGATGTGGTTCAACATCTGGAAGAAGTGGCCAGAAAGATAAAGTATCAGGAAGATATAAATGCTTATTTTAAGGAAATTGGTGAGCTTGAGAAGACTGTAACTGAGAAGGATGGCTGGCTTAAAAATGACGCTTCTTCAGCATCCCAGCCCTCAGCAGTCATGAAAGACTTATGTCAGGTAAGTCTGTCAAAACCTGTTTAATTTTGATTGGAAGCTGTTAGGAGCAGAATACCCCAGAAGACCTTAGCCTAGTCAGTAAGGTAATTCAAAATTTCTGAGGCATCCAGGGCACCAGATTTGACTGGAAGATTTTGGTACCTGTGTCACGGGAATACTTTAATGTTGTTGTCCTAGTAGTGTGGAGGAGCTGTGCTTCAGTAGCTCACTAAAATATTTGTGGTAACAAGGCAAGTGTGAGATTTGGTTTTGGTTTTAATATTTCACAGCGGGAGTTAACTCATCTTGTAAGCCTGAGTCCACGGTTGGAACACCTGAAAGCCACCTGCAAGGCACTCACCTCTCAGCCCATGCCTCCAAACTTCATTCAGGAGAGCTTGAATGGTTTTCTTGATCACTTCAAGTTGACTCATCAGAAACTAGATGAACGTCACCAGCAGCTGAAGAAAGGTAAAAAAAAATACAAAAAATATTTTTTTAACATAAACCCTTCTGATACTTGTGTTCTGATTTTTGTTGTTGTTTTGAGCTGATTGAAAGCTCAAGGAAGTCAGGTAGAGTTTTCGTACTGACTTTAGAAGGCTTTGGGTCAGGCTAACAAAGTCTTTTTATTCACCTGAAAGAATATTTGTATGACATCCTCTGTGCACACTACAGAATAAATTGTTCCATGGTGTTTAAAGGGGTTATGCAAGGATGGAACATTTCTGAAACTACGTTTAAGGAATTAGCAAAACATATTTAAGGTGGATAATATAGTTTGAAAAGCTGTGTGTCTCTGGCACTTACAGAAATAAATAATAACACTAGAAATGAAAAATGGAAGATCAGGAGAACCTTGTAAAACTGAAGTGCGCATGTGAAATTTATTCTTTTTCATAGCTTTATTGAGCACATTAGTCTTACATAATTCCTTTTGGAAATTTCATCTTTGAAGTGATTTGGAATCCAATTTGCTTTTCAGGCACTTTCTACTTGGGTTTTTGTTGCGTTAAAAATTTCATTATGAGCATTCAAACCAGTCATGCAGGCTTCTAAAGGACTTTAAATGTAGTGCACAAAATATGTAGCTCTGTTAATGTTTTACAGCTGAATAGCAAAAGCACAGACCTGTAAGGAGATTCTTTTTTCTTTAGTTTTCATTTTCTTTCTGAAGAATTCAGGGAAGCGTTTTGCTAACGGTCCCAAATGGAAGAGCATTAACATTTTATTCTGCGTGTAATAAAAGTAGGTGCAATTACTAAATTGTTAGGCCATCTATATAATGTGTTGCACCAGGCCTGCAAGCTTCAATTATATCCATACAGAAAACTGTATGAATAACGTATCTATCTGCCATGCTCAAATTACAGGGTGTGCTTTTGTTCTTACTGTGAGCGATGATTATTTTATGACTGTTCTGGGTTCATGTACTTTCGAATAATTTCATTGTATTGTGTATTTTAGTAATTATTACATGATGTGACAAAAATACTCGTTATTTTTTCATGCCACACATCACTTGAGGTGTTGTTAGTATATTTGAACGTTATTACTTGGTAAAAATACTTTGCATATCATAATATGCTAAAGGTACATGCTATGTATATGGAATATCATAATATGCTAAAGGTACATGCTATGTCTGTGGATTTTTTTTTTAACGATAATTTCTCTGCAGACTGTGTATTGCTAAACAACAGAGACAAGTGTCAGTTCAGGGTTTCTGTTGTTAATTTGCAGTATAGTTTGAATTGCTGTGAGGTAAAAGAACTTCCAGAGCCATATAACTGGGAGAAACAACTGTTGGTGGTACCTGAGCATTTGTGAACTTGGGAGGCTTTGACTGACCAAAGTCCAGCTCCTTTCATGGCTCTTTGAGCCTCTGAAAATTCTCTCATGGAATGCTACCCAGTCCTATCTCTACAGGCATTTTTTATGGGAATTGTGACTTTTTTTTTTTGTCAATGGAAGGCTATTTTAACGATGTTCTTCAGGATTTTGCTGTAGTTCAGTGACATTTGGTTTTTACTGAATTCTTTTTTTTCCTGTTTAAATTGATCCGGGCTTTTTGAGAAGAGGAAGCTAGATAACTCGGATTCTCTCTAGAAATGTTGGCTCATTCCTTAGTTGTAAATGGTATGACAGTTTTGACAGTAAGCTGTTGAAAAGCTACCTGGTGAGCCAGAACAAGGCTTAGATTAATTTTCACTTGTGGCAGTAATGAAATTGCTTAGGAATCCAAGGCTGGAGAATGTGCATACCACAGTACAGGTTCTACAACTGAAATCCTGTTTGCTGCAGTTTTGTGTATCTGGTGTTTTCATTCTGAAATGCCAGAGTGAGGTACTGCCTCCTGCTTGGGATTCCACAGAGGGCTGGCTCAAGCAAAATCTGAGATGCAGTCAAAGATTACAAGCAGATATTCCCTCCAAGCTTTAATTCTCTTTTCAGTCTTCCCAGATAGCATCTCTGTTCTAGCAACAGGCTGAAAGCTTTTTTTTATATATTTGTGTGTATGTGTACATAAAAATGAAAAAAATCCTCTCTAAACCCTACTACTACACTAATACCTATTGTACGTATGTGTGTTTTTATATACATATGTTGAAAAATACTAGCTTATATAGTTACTATATTTAGTGTATTTCACTTTATATGTAATATATGGCTATTATATGCTATACTTTATATTCTATATACAGTAGATATATAGTAGTGTGAGTTTCCATATAAAAAGTAGATACATCTAAAACTTTTTAAAATGAAAAAATACTAAATTGTAGGGATTTAGGCATGCAAAAGCCCAAGTACTATTGATTCCACCACCCTGCCCACCCCAAGAGATTTAGGTGCCTAGGTGTATAAGAAAATTTCAAAAATGGGTTTGAGGTTTTTAAATATTTTTTTTTCAGGCAGGTGGTGGTGTCTGTCTTCATATATTTATTATGTTCTATATAATTCATATATATTTAATATTTTTTGAGAGGAAAAAGCATTGCCATCAGCAGAAGAGTTTTTTGGCTTTTGGAAGGTCTCAGCAGGATTCAATGTACAAGTACATCTCACATGATTTCTTGTTTGTAAATGAGTCTGATAGCTTTGAGTATGTTCACATCTCTGATAATTTGGGTCTCGTGTCTATTTTCTTACCTTGTACTTTGTTCCCTTACTTTTTTTAACGATACCAGAGACGGAAAGCCAGCCGAGCCAGGAGTACGTGGACGCCCTGCAGCAGCTGAAGGACGCGCTGGGTGAGCTGGAGCGCGAGCAGCAGTCCATTGCCAGTGGACTGAGCGACCCCAGTAAGGTTGAGAAGGCCCTGCAGCAGGCGAAGGTAGCTCTCACCTTCACACTAAAGCTGCTTATTCAGCCACTACCATCCTCCTTTCTTCTGCCTTGTTTGCAGTGGGGTGACTGAAACATCACTTAGAGGGAAGTGGACCAGGGAACGGTGTGTGGACGTGGCTGCTGGGGGCTGCATGTTGGAAGCTGGGTCATGGCAGGCTGCTGAGGGACGTGTCTGGGTGAGGGCTGGGTGTCCTCCAGCCTCCAGACTGAATGGCTGCTTTCACTGCCTATGCCGGGAGATGAGGCCAAGAGAACTGGGACTGCTCGGCTAGGGGAAGAGGAGGCTCTGAGGGATCTTCTCGGAAGTGCCACAGCACCTCAGACCATCTGGGCAGCCTTCCCAAGCTCCCTGCAGTGTGCTCATGTCTCTCGTGTGCTGAAGAGCCTAAACATGGACATCAGGGCCCTGAGAGCAACCACCTCCAAGGAGCTTGGTTGGATCAGGTCACTGACTTCATCCAAGGTCTGCTCCTTTGCTTCTGAGCACAGTTGTGAGGAAAGCCAGGAGCCGGGGGCTGTCCTTCCCTCCCTTGGGAGCTGCTTTCCAGCCCTCCCTGCAGACACAACTGTGCCTGGCCCCTCTGGTGCACTGTCCTGGGGGGCCACGTTGTCCCCG